ATCCCCCCCGCAATTCCTCTTTAATTTTTTTAGAAATTCCATCACCTTCTGGACAGAATTCAGCCAAAACCTCTGCTGTTTAAAAGTAAAAATCACATTTTCCAATTTGTCTCATCAAAATGGAATCTTTTTTTGCTTTAATCTATCAGTCAAAAAAAAAGTACTCTTTTCTCTTATACAAAGTTCTAATATGAATTTCTTTAAGAACAATTACATCTGTATTATCAATCTTCAGTCTCGTATTAAAATGCTGCTGTAAAACCTGATCTCGTCTTCTTCCTGACAAAGTGCACCAAGACATACCTTAGAATATTTCTTATTCTTGAAAATCTTATTCTATATATTTTATCAATTTCTGCCTCTGTATCCTCCTCATCCCAATCCCAAAAAAATTGCTAAAGCTTTAATAACTTTCTCTCTAATATCTTCATCAGAATCCTCTGGAATTGCTCTAAATCTCAAACAAAATTTCTTCTCTCTCAGTTCCAGTATGGCCAAATTATCTAATTCTCTTTCCAACATTCTGTCTATAACTTCTGTTTTACTCTCCAGAATTTCCACTTTGTCATTAATTTGTTTTACATCTCCAGACACTTATTTTACAGAGCTTTCCATCTTCTTAACTTCTTTCACCTCTTCTTTCATCTTTACAAGTCTTTCATCCATTCTCTTTTCAAAAGCTGTCAATTTAGTATCAAGTGATTCAGCTAACTTATTCCCCAATTCCTCAAAGATTTTCTGAAGTAAATCTAGTGTAATTCCTCCCTCTGCAGGTTGTTCTAGTGATCCTCATCTTTCCTCTGCTGTTTTTGCTCCTTTTCTGGTGGTTGGTAATATTATAATCCAAAAGTGAAAGTGTCTCAATTGCAAGGGAAAGATTAAAAGGCAAACTTTCCTTTTTGTCTTCCTGTGCCCTTAACGCTTTCATCTCAAATGGCATTCCATAGTTGCAGTCAGCATCACAGTCTGGCTCATATTACCTTTATCTTTTGTTTTGTAAAATCCACCAATTGTCTGCACTCTTTAATAGTAAACAAAAAACATTCCCACAAAGATCTGGGCCATTTGTCTGTTTTAATTCCAATTTGTTCAAAAGCACTTTCACCAAAAACTAATCTTTCAAAATTACTATCCCCTTTATCCATTTTAAACTTTCTTACATCCATTCCATGTTAAGCTTTTTGCCAAAAGTTTTTAAATTTTTGAACTTCCCCTTTTTCCCCCTTTTTAATCCAGAAAGAATGTTGACTTACCAAGTGGAATTCTCTTATCCTGCTGCTCAGAAAATCTCTCTTTAGCTGTAAATTAATTATATGTTTAAGAAAATGAGCTTTTTGCGAACCTTGTGTCCATATAGGCTGCATTCCGGCTGCAAGCTTAATTGAAATCCCTTGACTCCCAGCTGCTGAACTCATGAGCCGACTACAAAAACTTCAGTTCCTGCAGTCTACTCACAAGGAGCAGCTGCCCAGAGTGCAAGTGGGCGATCTCACAATCTTTCCTTGTCCAGAAAGACTGCACCAGCCAGAATTGGTTGTCTAGCCACCGACCTCCACTGCAATGCCATCCGCGCTCCTTCAGGGACATCTAGTCTGCCATAGATCCTCACCCAGAAGCACCCCAAAACTAAAATACTCCTCAATAAGGTTTCTGTCTAAAATTATTGGATTGGGGGAATAAAAGAGGCCAAATAAAATACAAATGATGCCTCATAGCTTAAATCTGGAACCCTCATTCCATGTTATACAATTCAATGAACCACAGCAGCCATCTGATGGGCAGGTGTTTTAGGCATTCTGGGGAAGGGGTCATTTTGAATGCCAAATGTTATTTACAAACAGGAGTAAAGGGTAGTTATATCAGACTCCAGTACCAGCCAACTTTATTAATGTACTAAATTTTGCAAAGTCCATTTTACAGGGCCATTCTCTTCTGCTGACAGGTTTTATTTATTTATTTTATTGTCAACATGAAAACCATTCCAATTCATTTGTCTTAATGGCAATTCACACTAAGTTAGAAAAAGAATTGCAAGCAGAATGTAAATTATTCAGTAAATCCCTTAAAAATAACAAGCTTAAAATTAACATTTTGGAATCAATCCTGAGATTGCTTCTATGCACATCCATGACAAAATTTACCATTCCCTGATAGTTTGACTGCAGTCTATAAAGAAAAAAAGAAGTATTTCAGCTAATTGATTAGGTCCTGGAAATTCACTGCCTATGTCATTTGGATGCTATGGATGAGTGGAGTCAGCTGTATATTTTTTGCACAAGTACCTGCTTAAGTATGTTACTAACTTCCCTCAAAAGTTCTCACAATAATTTTCATGCATGCACATAATGTTTTCACTGAGAGGAAACTTAGAGCCTGTCACCACGGAATGAAAGAAACGCATGTAGCAAACTTGCTTGTGGGATAACATCTTTTTACACTACAAAAAGTTTGAGTTCATTTGACACATGTTCTCAGATATTTTCACATGTTTACAAAATCCAGACACTTTGCACATATTCTCAATTACAATAAAGCTAATTAACCAATAAATCATATTGTGGGTTGTACCTCATTATTTCAGGTATCCAAGTTCAATTTACATACTAATGGATGCATATTTGCTCTTAATAGATGCATTGTTAAAAAGTAAAACGTAATAAATGAAAACCATTTAAGCATCATACGCCATACCGATGAAAATATCTGAGAATGCATGTATTTTTATTGTGAAATAATGCTAATGAGAAACTGAAATGACAAACATGAATTAACATGAAGAAAACTAGTTGAAAGTTATGAAGACTACCTAAACATCTCGCTCTGAGATAATAGTGACTGAAATGGCTGGTTTGAGCACATACAATCATTTCTCTCAGAGTCAATTTCACCAGTTATGTAATCATCATATTCTGCAACGCAGTTAAATTATAGTGTCTATTTTTAATGCAGGCCTGTCTCCCTAGTGGTGTGATCTACATAAAACTACATTGAAGTTCAGTATACCTAGTGACTTTTGTAATCCTATATTTAGCATTATTTGAACATAAATGCCCAGGAATCTAATTGTATTGATAGAAGTGAAGATGTTAGTAAGGCTGGAGAATTTATTACAACCATAGATCTGTAGGAAATATGTTATCTCATCTCTTTCTTTAGTTTTGCACTAGCTTCAAACTTCATGGGGATATAGGATCTGTAACTGTGTGTTTACTTCCACTGCCCTTTCCTTTTGTAAGTGTTATCCTTCTTCTGATCCCTCCCATTCCTGGGGCTCATCAGTCCATCAGATACCTCTAATCATCTGGAAAATAGTATAAGTGTAACTTTCAAGTTATCTCATGATATCTGGAACTATAAACTCTTTCCAGCTTCTCAGATCTTGGTAGGACTTCTATCTCCATGACAATGGTGTAGCATGCACCACATTTAGATTTCATTTCACTTTTCATAATGGATTGTGAGGTGAGACATATCCATGGCATTGGCAAGAAAATTATCCCTTCCCACATACATATGCAATTCTTCATTCCCCTTACTATTCAAAATACAAAGAAGAGTGGCTTAGGAATTGCATGGGATATACAACTTGGATCAGCAGTATTACTGATATCCATGCCTGAGTGCTTCATGCTGGCTCCAGCCAGATAAGCAAAGTGTTCCCATTAAGAAACCAGTTACAGGTAGTCTCCAGTTTAAGAACAAGTTCCGTTCCCAGGGTCTGTCCTTAAGTCAAATTTGTGGGTAAGCTGGAACAGTATTATTATAAAATACTGTATAAGTAGTATACAGTATAGAGCTCAAACCATTGTGTATTTAAATTGAATCACTGTATATTTAACTCAAATTTTGCTACAATAGGCTCCATTCTTAACTATGGGTCGTCTGTAAACCAGGCATTCTTAACCCAGAGACTACCTGTATATCAAGCTTTAGAACTTGTAAGACTTTGCCCAAGGGCTCAGGGGTATAGTGCAAGTCCACAGATTTTATTCACCTAATTTCTTTATTCTTTCAACATCCAGCTGACCCTCCCTCTCTCTTACAATTTTTCAAGCTGTTTAAGATGAGATAGACTGATTGATTCCTTTTTGAGCTGCAACTGCTTTTCCACATGTCTGTGAAAACCATCAGTTACTTCTTCATAGTCATTTGGTAGCCTGACCACAGTTGGAAAACAACACACGTAAAAGTGCAACCTCTATGCCCTTTTCAGTTAATATTGATTAAATGAATAAAATTAGAGATGCATATTGAAACTCATGGAAAGCTGAGCTGAATTAGCCTACTGCTTGAATATGTTACTGCTTAAATAAGATGCAGTAAATTCAGTTTGTGGTGACTGATGGGTTCTAATATGAAGTTAGTAGCTTCTTTCCCCGTGTAGTTGTCAGTTTTAAACTAGGCTATCCACAAACTCACCGAGGCTGAGAAAGAAAAGGTAGTATTTCAAAACATTACTAAAAAAGAGCAGATGGATGTTTCAGTGCCAGGCTTACCTGGAAAAAGGGCAGTAAGCCTCTTAGTTTTACATTCTGATAAAAACAACTCACAGAGACACCACCTGAATGAATTCACTCATCAATGAGAGCCAGAGTTTTGTTTATTCAGTTTTTAAGATTCTGTATCCTAACCTCTTATTTCTTAACATAAAACATAATTAATGAAACTCCATATGAATATTGCTTCTCTGATCCTGCTCTACTACTACAGCCTTAATAGCCCTATTCTCCCACCTTCTGCTCCAAAATGCTACAGTAGATTACTTAGACAAAGTATCTGCATTATAGGACTTCAGCCTGTCTTAAACATTAGTTTCTCCATTACTGTATGAACATCTACAATAATTATGAACCCAAACAGAGATATTATATTTTTGACATACTTTTCTCTCAAGAAAAATTTAAAACAGCTGACTAAATAAATGTACTATTTCCACAGAAATAAAATTTCAAATGATTTGCTATTAATCTCTGTCAACATCTTTCATATTTTAATCTTACCTGGAAGTGTATGTTTTGGTCAATATGAAGCACATCAAACTGTTTCAGGAAACGTTCATCTTTGCTCCAGAAAAGGCGGATGTCAGGGATTCCATACAGGATCATGGCCAACCGCTCTAATCCCAGACCAAATGCCCAACCAATTTTGTTCTCAGCACCAGCTGCAGTTACAGAAAAGAAGAAATAAAAGAAAACCAGGGCATAAAAGTGAACTATGAGGGAATGAAATAAAAGTATACTAGCTAAATAATGGGTAGATTCCAGAAGTTAATTAAATAGAATGTGATAATTCCCAAAGAATGAACTATTTTTTTTTAAAGGAAAAAGTGAACCAGCATTCCATTTCTTACTTTATTCCATCACAGATTCCACTTTTGTGGAGCCATCCTGTCTTCCCTAATGCATACTGCATTTTCCCTGAAAATGAAAATCCACTATGTCACAGAGAAGAACATGTGATAATAAATTCTGCTTCACTGTGGGTATGTGAAATACTTCCTTGTAACTATTTTGAATCTCCTACCATTCAGCTTCATATGATGACTCTGAATTCTAGTCATAAGGATAAAAAACTCCCACTCCCCTCCCTTTTCCTCTTAGCCATTCATTCATTCATACATTCGTTCAATAATTTTAGTAGATATTTTAAAAGAACAACATCAAGAAGAAAAACAGAAAAAAAAAGAAAATGAAAAAGAATTTATAAGCAATATAAGTTTAAATAAAAATGTCTAAGTAACATAGTGTGGGTTTTTGGGGTGACTTCAAGTCACTCTTGACTCCTGGCAACCGTCTGGACTAGTTCCGGCAGTTTTCTTGGCAAGGTTTTTCAGAAGTGGTTTACCACTGCTTCCTTCCTAGGGCTAAGAGGCAGTGACTTGCCTGAGGTCACCCAGCTGGCTTTATGCCAAGGCAGGACTAGAACTCAGTCTCCCAATTTCTAGCTTTTGTTCCTTAATCACTACACCAAACTGGCTCTCTTACATAGATTACTGCTGCATATTGAAGTACAGGTAATCCTTATTTAGCGACCACAATTGGGACCAGAAACTGGGTCATTAAGTGATGTGGTTGCTAAGTAAAACCACGATTGTGCTTATGATCTTACTTCAGCTTTCCTTTGCTTTACAGACCTGCTAAGGTCGTAAATGTGAGGATTGGTCACAAAATTACTTTTTCATCACTGTCATAAGTAATGACTGGTTGCTAAATGAGGCAGTTGCTGAATGAGGATCTCCTGTATCTTGTATCAATTTAAGGCTTCAGAACATTATTGAAATCAAGTTGATAGTCAGTAATATGAATCATAAGTCCACATAAGGGATTAATAAAGATTTCTGTCTAATCTTAGAATTCTATCTTTATTTAACAAATCAACCAAGAACTAATATATCAAGGCCTTATGTTAACAGAATCCCAAACTTCAGTTGTGGTACAAGTCTGTATGTAGAATTGTAATTCATAAATGGTTTCCAAGTTGAATTAAATTCTGTATTACACTTGTTCTTCAAATATAAATTTCTTTTTGACATTGATGCATATTACCACAGCTTAGTTTGCCATTCTTGTATAGAGCATATTACATATGATTTCCAATAAAAGGCATAAAGTGTTCTGTTATCACATACAATGCCAGCTCAGTATATTTTATGAGTATATAAGGTTTTATAATGTTAAACAGAAAAACGACTGGCCAGAAAGAGGAATTCAACCTTTAAAATTTATTGTATTCTACAATAAATCATCTTCTAGAACTGTTGGGCTTTTCAATATGACCAGCAAATGTAAAAAAAGGATGCAACCTGATTATTGCGTTTACAAGAAATTTTAGACAATGAATTGTCTATTTTGGCAATCAATACTGGAGTACTATACCAATGGTAAAACATCTCACACCAGTTTTTTTCTGTTATATTTATGATAAATTTAATATTCAACTTCCATTGATATTCCTGTTGTTGCATATCAATTATCCTGTTTAACTTCTTCATCCATTTAATCATACTCTACATAATTTTATATCACTCAAACATACCTGGGCTTAGATGACTAAAATATTTGAACCTTTCTTATATAAACTAGCTATTGTTTTCTGCATTTCCTCTGTTTTTGTTTCAAACTACCCTTTAATAATTTGATGCTGTCAGCAAACATGGTCAGTTTACTGCTTGCACTATAAGCAAATACACCAACCCCACAAAAGAAATTAGAGAAATAAGTGTTAGCACTTAGGAGAACTGATTGATTCCTGCTTTTTGTTTGATGTACTTTAACCAAGAATAAGAGGGCTTTTCTTATCTAGGGCTACTAAAACTACTCATGAGCCTGGTGAATGTTAACAGACTTTTCAAAGTTCAGTCTTTGCTGCTTTACCCTGTTTCTGTGCAAATCTCACATGCTCAAATAAATTTCAAAGTTCAGCGAGAAAAGATATACTTTTGCAAAAGCCAAGTACAATCTTCTTGTCCTTCTGGGCTTGTAATGGTTTCAATACATTTTCTAAAACCCTCAGGTAAATTTAACAGACATAATTCTTTGGATCCCACTGTTAAAAAATTAGTGTTACGATATACACTTTCTGGTACTTTGATACAGGCCTTTTAGGGATATATTACATATTTAGTTAAAAGATCACCCTTTATATATCACCATTCCTTAAGAAGGATACCGTCTAGATCCAATTTGTTTCTTTTTCAGTTTTCTCTGGCTCTTCTTTTGGCATGCAGCCTAACTTTCCTACAATGGCACTTCTTCCTTTAGAAACTGGGTGAGTCTTGTCCACTCTTAAAGGGTTCAAAATTGTGCTCAATTAGAGTTTTATACACAATGTTCTTGGGGTTGTGCTACATAGGGAATTCTGGGGAATTTTATATCAGTCAAAATAATATAAAGTCAAATTCTGAAGATGAATCAGGAACATATGATGCCACCAAAGTGAAGGTGCTAATTCTCAATTTCATCATCATCATCAATAATAATAAAAGCTATTTAAAGATTTCATCATCTCACCTCCATTACATCAACCCGTCCCCACCCAGTCAGGCATGTTGCAGGCCGCATCAGTGAGAGAATGTCAGCTGGCAGGGCCCAGGAGGAAAGTCTTCTCTGCCATTGTCCCCACCTTTTGGAATATTCTCCCCCCAGAGGCACAGTGAGCCCCTACCCTCCTGGTTTTCCAGAAAGCATTTAAGACATGGCTGTGCCAGCTTGCATGGGGCAGTAAGAGTTTTAATCAACCTTGGGGGTGGCTAGTGTCCTGATGTCACTCTTGAGTTATTCGCCAATTCCATCATTCTTGGAATTTATTTATTATTTTTAAGATTGTTTTTATATTGTTTTAATTGATTTTATCTCGTTTGTAAACTGCCCAGAGTCGCTTTTCAATGAAATGGGCA